GGGTATATGAAAAATCTTCGGAAACTTTTGCCTAATTTTGCTGTAAACTTAAAACGGTTCTAAAAAATAAAACCTATCTTAAAAAACTATAAAACATTACTTAAATGTAAGTTGTAGGAAGGTGGTGTGTTTTCATCTAAACTCAGGGTTGGAAGACAAAATCTGGCTTCTAATCTCACATCTTCACTTATTGGCTGTATGATGAGGAACTAGTTAACCACCTCTTTGAATTAGGGACAAAATAAGATTTGTAAATAAGTACCTTTTGTAAACAAGTTTTATATTACTGTTTTTTTCTTAATTGAGGTTTGACTGTATTTTAAAGTCTAAAGGCTACATTTGGGAAGTGTATTTTTTTTTTATTTTATTTTTTTTTTCTTTTTGAAAGAGATTACTATTGAAATTCACCTCTGCTAGGAGAGGTTTTCAGTCACGATGACGGCAGGGTGAAGCTATTTGAGTGCAAGCTGGGAATTTGTGATGAGGGGCTATATAAACTAGAAAACTCATTGGATTCACCAAATTTTACTGTTTGCCTTCCTCCCACAAGGTATTGCACCAGGGGCTTTGAAAGATTCATTTTTCATGAATCTCCCAAAGAGTCATGATAAATAACACAGATTTTATTCTCTTAAATTATTGTTGAAGGTTAGAGCCTACGTCAGGGTCCTTAACTTGCATAATGATGTAAGAAAAAGTGATGCATTTACAAAATGGAGTCATTTAATAATAAAAAATACTAAAATGGAAGTCTTTTAATTCCTATTGATAAACTTCCCATAAATTTTAAGTAGAAGTTTTTGCAAGTGGGGGTCATGGAACTCAGTGCAATGCTTTGCTATTATTGTACACAGAGTTGCAGTGATATTTAAGGACTTTTAAGAAAAAAGTGTTGAAGGATACCTCTGGGCCACTTTGCTCTGTCGAGAGGAGAAGGTCACACACTCCATCTCTGGCTTTGTCTGCTTCCTTGCAAACTGAATGATTTTTGGTGGGACCTGGAGGGACCTAGAAAAAGGCTTTGGGTGACTTAGCAAAATCTGCCTTTCCTTTCATAAAAGGTTTGTGTTCTACTGACAGATCATTAGAGTCCTATTTCTCTATGAAGAATAGTCCTTTTCAATGCCATCTTTCTGTCTCCTGGTTGGTTGGTTTGTTTTTCCTTTGCAGTTTGAAAAAGAGTTTACCAACCACCAAGAAACTCAGGCCCAACTGCAGAAAAAGGAAGCACAAATTAATGAACTTGAAGCAGAGTTACAAGCTTTTAAGTCACAGGTAAAATACCATCTTTCTGGATTGAATTTGGGTATTGAAAGCTTACCAGGGAAGCAAAGGTCATGTCATATCTTCAGAGCTCAAAATGTTTAAGCTTTAATTTCACTAGTATGTTTTAATAGTATTGTTTATATGTATTTCTATTCTGTAAATTTTTTTTAAAAAATGACTTCGCCACTTTTTTTTCTACTTGGCATTTTTAAGAATGTCTAAACTTTTACTAATTAATCTGCTTCCTTATGTTTCATTTGGGTTTTGTTTTTAATGTCATATGTTTTATGTGTAATCATAAAGGGTAAGAAAGTCTTTTACTCTTAGATTTGTCATTCATCACTGATCTTTATCCCACTACAGGAAATTATTGCTTGAGCTATTTATTTTTCAAAACCTTCAGCCTATGGGTACCTTGCAGTGAAAGATAACCTCTAGCTGAATGAGAACATTTTCTGATAATTTTTCAATTTCCAAAAGTAAACAGATTTAAAACATGACAAAAAGAGCAAATCTGGATTATGAAGCAGATAGCTCACATACACCCTCTACATATAAAACATTTAGATAGCAAGAAATACATCATCTGCATGTTGTAAACGGATGACAGTAAAGAGGTAGAATATTCATAGCTAAATTTCTTCATGCAGATTTACATATAGGATGATGAGCAATAAGTATAGTTTTTGCTCATTTTCTTTCATCCTAATTTATGGTTATGTCGAAATAGTCTCAGATGTACCATTTCCTATATTGGTGTACTATTTCCCATATTATTGGCTATTTTGTTTTCTCTTAAATACTTAGTGGATAGTTTTGTTACAGAGCCTGTAAGAAGATACCTGAAGAGAGAGCTATCTGTTAAGTGTTCAATTATAGGGGGGAAAAAAAAAAGGCTCTTTTCTGTAAGAAAATGACTCTCACTGATCTATCTTTAGTGTGCAAGAAGGAAGTACAATTTATTGAAACTTTTCATCTTTCCCGTGTGGCTCCTTGTCTCTCACACTAAAAGAAATATTTGATTGTGTTTTATTATTTCAGATTGAGTTATAGACAGTGGCTGAGATATTTATGTCCAGTTTCTCTTGGTCTGGGCTAATATAAATTTTAAAAACTTTATTTTTAATTTCTTATAGTTGAAGGATTACTTGTAAATCCAATCTAAAGAATTCCTGTTGATTAAAAAAAGAAAATAATCACTAGCTTTGGATATATTATCGCTGCATGTGTTTTATATAAATATGGGAATGAATTTGTTTTAAAACTGAGATTAAATCCAGGAATCTCTTATGTTATTTAAGAATGTGGAAAAGGATGACTAGTTTTGTATATCAGAAGCAAGCCTGGAATTAGAGACTAGTAAAGTTCACCCTGTTAATTTTTGAAGAACAACAGGAAAAATTTTTTTTAATGGATTGGTGTGTTTCTCATGAAATCTATTCATTTGTCTTAAGATCCTTCTCTTTGATCAAAGCCATAATGATCATGAAGGGTATGAATAAAATATATTCTGTTATCTGTGATTTTATTCCTTTATTCACTTAACAACTAAGTGTTGTCAGGTGCTGGGGCTATGATGGTGAGCAAGTTAATCACAGGATAATCTGGCCTCATGAATGATATATTTAAGTCAGCCATCCTCTATCAAATGAGCTAGTATAGAGCAGAAATCTAACCATATCTTTAAGACATTGAGTGTGAATATAACATACATACTTCTTTAACATTCAGAGGGCAGTACTATCCATTCTAACAGCAATGCAGCATAATGCTGAATTGATTCTACTTTATAGTTAATTTTTTGTTAAGATATGTTCTTTGATTTGTGGTGTCAATTTCTTTTATAACACTTTTTCTTTGTGCTGATCTCAGATGTCAATTTCAGGCTTTTATACATGATCTGTTTTCCATAATTGTGCCATGGAAGTTTTAAAATGATTTATTAACATTTATTAAATGCCACCATTTGCAAGGTGTCGTGTGTGTGTCTCTGAATTGAAGTAATTACAGGAAAATAATCATACTACAAAAAATTATCAACTCTCCTCTTCTTTATGATAATTAAAATGCATTTGTTCTTACCATGCCATAGAAACAAAAGGACAGAAGTGACCAGTGGACATACTTGGCTCTTTTTCACTCCTGATTTTGCATTGCTTCTCTGTTACTTTGGACACTGTTGAGTATCAGCACCCCCCTCCTTCACTTGTGATTCATGAACCTGTACCTGTCTGCTTTTTCTCTCCTCTTTCATCCATTCATTCTACACGTATTTCTTCAGTGGCTGTCATTTGCCAGTCGCAACTTCGGGTTTTGGAAAAGAATAGTAAATTCTACAGTCTTAGTCACTTCCCTCATGAGCTTATAACTCTCAAAGAGATAAATGCTAACGATTCCTTAAGTATTTAACACTTTGATAAGTACAATCAAAGAGAAGTGGTGCTATCAGTGTAGAAGCAGTGGTCACAATGAGGCTTTCCTGAGGAAAGGAGGTGCTAAGACTGAAAGGACCAGCAAGAAGTGGTCCGTGTACCGAGACTCGAGTTCCAGGCAGAAGGAATAGCATGTGCCAAGGCCCTGAAATCACTGTGAGGTTGGCATCTACATGGAATTATATATGAAAGCCACTTGAAAGGCCAGTTAGTTCACAAGGATCATGATGTGCCCCTGCAGGTCCTACTTACGAATTTCAGGTTTGTTTTTTTTTTTTTTTCCTCTCTCTCAAGGTCATTGGCACATGTCACATGATGTGACAGTACTATTTAACTTTGTCTTGATCTTCTTATTGTTTAACTTCTCATTTAAATGCTAGTATTCCATAGAATTCTGTACATAGACTTTTCTTTATGCTAGATGCTCTGTCCATACTGAGTGAACTTAGCTACTTGAACTATCACCTAGAAACTGCTGATTTTCAAATCTTCTAAACCCATATACTCATATCCTTCCTGGATATCTCCACCTGGATGGCCATAACTACCAAAATAGTAAATAATATTTCTGGCTATTACACTTTTATGAAAACAAAAGCGAAATTCTTTAATTGGGAAAAAACCCAACTTGGTTGGAATTTTGTTTTTTTATGGTTAACCCATGTGAAATTACTGATAGTGAATTATCTTTGATTTAAAATAATAAACTTTTGGGGCGCCTGGGTGGCTCAGATTGTTAAGCGTCTGCCTTCGGCTCAGGTCATGATCCCAGGGTGCTGGGATCAAGCCCCACATCAGGCTCCTGGCTCAGCAAGGAGCCTGCTTCTCCCTCTCCCTCTGCCTCTCTCCCTGCTCATGCTTTCTCTCTCTCTCTCTCTCTCTCTCTCTCTCTCTC